TGAGATGGTGCCACCATGGGTTGGTGCCACCACAAGATGGTGACCACCACGATGAGATGGTGCCAACCATGAGATGGGGCCACCATGAGATGGGGCCACCACGATGAGATGGTACTACCATGGGTTGGTGGCCACCATGAGATGGTGCCACCATGAGATGGTGCCACCATGGGTTGGTGACCACCACGAGATGGTGACCACCATGAGATGGTGCCACCATGGGTTGGTGACCACCACGAGATGGTGACCACCACGAGATGGGGCCAACCATGAGATGGTGCCACCACGAGATGGTGGCCACCATGAGATGATGACGTCACTCAACGTCCCCCCCCCCCGCTGATGTCCCCAGTGAGCCGCATCCAGGCCCCCACCGTGGAGCTTCTCCACACCTGCGACTCCGAGGATGTCCACCTCCTCTGCCTCGTCACCGGCTTCTCCCCGGTCCCCGTCACCCTGCAGTGGTTGGTCAACGGTCACCCCTTGGGATCTCCTGAGCAGCTCCCCGCCTCCCGCGATGCCACCGGTGTCACCTTCACGGCCACCTCCAGCCTCAACGTCACCTTGGGGGAGTGGCAGGAGAAGATCTACAGCTGTAAGGTCACCCACGCCGCCTCCGAGACCATCCAGGAGGTCAAGGGACACAAGTGCATGAGTGAGTTTGGGGGTGGTGGCATCTCCAGAGGTTGTCCCCTGGGTGGTCTGGGGTGGTGGCATCTCCATAGGGTTCAACCCGCTTGGGTTTGGGGGTGGTGGCATCTCCCATGGGTTCATCCCACCTTAATTTAGGGGTGGTGGCATCTCCAGAGGGTTCAACCCGCGTGGATTTGGGGCTGGTGGCATCTCCATAGGGTTCATCCCACCTTACTTTGGGGGTGGTGGCATCTCCATAGGGTTCAACCCGCTTGGGTTTGGGGGTGGTGGCATCTCCCTGGGGTTCATCCCACCTTGATTTGGGGCTGGTGGCATCTCCATAGGCTTCACCCCACGTGTCTTCGGGTGGTGGCATCTCCATAGGCTTCATCCCACCTCGATTTAGGGGTGATGGCACCTCCATAGGGTTCACCCCACGTATCTCTGGGGCTGGTGGCATCTCCATAGGCTTCATCCCACCTTGATTTGGGGCTGGTGGTATCTCCATGGAGCCCACCCCACATGTCTTCAGGTGGTGGCATCTCCATAGGCTTCATCCCACGTCGATTTAGGGGTGATGGCACCTCCATAGGGTTCACCCCACGTGTCTTTGGGTTTTCAGATGGTGGCATCTCCATAGGGTTCATCCCACCTTGATTTAGTGGTGACGACACCTCCGTGGGGCTTCACCCCACGTGTTTTCAGGTGGTGGCATCTCCATAGGCTTCATCCCACCTCGATTTAGGGGTGATGGCACCTCCATAGGGTTCACCCCACATGTCTTTGGGTGGTGGCATCTCCATAGGCTTCATCCCACCTTGATTTGGGGCTGGTGGTATCTCCATAGGGTTCACCCCACGTGTCTTCGGGTGGTGGCATCTCCATAGGCTTCACACCACGTCGATTTGGGGCTGGTGGCATCTCCTTAGGGTTCACCCCACGGATCTCTGGGGCTGGTGGCATCTCCTTAGGGTTCACCCCACGGATCTCTGGGGCTGGTGGCATCTCCTTAGGGTTCACCCCACGGATCTCTGGGGCTGGTGGCATCTCCTTAGGGTTCACCCCACGGATCTCTGGGGCTGGTGGCATCTCCTTAGGGTTCACCCCACGGATCTCTGGGGCTGGTGGCATCTCCTTAGGGTTCACCCCACGGATCTCTGGGGCTGGTGGCATCTCCTTAGGGTTCACCCCACGGGTCTTCGGGTGGTGGCATCTCCATAGGCTTCATCCCCCCTCGATTTAGGGGTGATGGCACCTCCGTGGGGCTTCACCCCACATATCTCTGGGGCTGGTGGCATCTCCATGACCTTCACCTTTTCTCCCCCAGGTTCTCCTCCCGGCAGCGATTCCGTCCAACTCTTCATCCTTCCCCCTTCTCCTTCCGACCTCTACGTCTCCCAGAACCCCGTCCTCCGTTGCATGGCCACCAGTTTGACCAGTGACCAAGGACTGGAGGTCACTTGGACCCGTCAGTTGGGGGGCTCCCTCCGCCCCAGAGACCTTCTCCTGGAGGACCAATACAACGGCACCTACACGGCCATCAGCGAGGTCCCCGTCACCGTCCAGGATTGGGAGAAAGGGGACACCTTCACCTGCACCATCCGCCACAGCGACCTCCCCTCCCCCCTCAGCCGCAGCATCAGCAGGAGACCCGGTAAGGAAGACCCGCCCCCTTTCCTTATTTGCATCTCATTTGCATCCCTCCCCTCCCCGTCACTTTTCGCCCCCGTTTTCGCCTCTTTTGGCCCCGTTTCGGGCTCTTTTTGCCCCGTTTCTTCCTCCTCTGCCCCACATCCTCCTCCCCCTGCCCC